TTTCGTTAAAAAAATTAAATTGATGCCATAATCGTTTTGGATAAAAATCCGCAGTACAATAATGAATGAAATACGAACTACTTTTGTACTGATCTTGAATTTCTTTTGTTCAATCGACTTGTATAAATACTGTTCGCGTTCTTGGTCAGTGTCGCCAGTATGGAGACCGTCTGGGTCCCAATAACCGATCTGGACACTGTCTTCTGCCCTCATGTCCATTACTCGTAGATTGAAGGAATCTCGACGACCCTCTTCGTTGATCGTCATCGCCCCCGTGATCTTCCCCTCTGTGGACAGCTACCATCACAAATACAATTACAGGTACATCGCATTGTACATGTGCAAAGCATTCTATATAATCACATGCACATGTATTCCATTTCATTATAGCAGAATACTAATAGGGGTGCGATTGTAAGGGGTGAGAGTAACAAGGACGCGATTTCTTTAAATCTTATCAGGATTTAACAGTCTGAAGGACTCCAATAATAACATCGGAAATAATATAATTGATTTCGTATCAGAAAACAATTTTTTTAATTCAAGGGTGGTTCAAGTTTTTTATATGAGCAATTTTTTTTACCTCTTTTATAAGGTTGGTAATGTTGGGACCTGCGGTATATTTCTCTGCCTCCGCGCAAGAGAGCGATACTGGGTCAATTGTTACCGGTTCCTCACTGTCTTTGTTCCGTGCATTCAAGCTCTCCAGCGCGTTATACACCAGAAAGACGGCGTCGTACAAAACAGCCGACTCCACCTAAATAAAAATTGCTGTACCTCATAAGATTTCCTTATTTATTAATAAGTTTTATTATTTATTAATTAATGAATAGACGAAGAGATTAAATTTTTAATATAATTCCATGGTATTCACAGAATGTATAAATTGCGTGATGATTAGGCGAGAAATGTTACAGTCATTTGTCTGTATGTAAATTATTACGAAGCTAATTCCTCGGAACGGCGAGAAAATCTGAAGAACTTTAGCCTCGCCGGGGAAAGAATCCGCGTCATTAGCCGTGGCACCATAATCATGTTATTCAACGAGACTCGTTTCCGGCCCAAGCATTCCCTGGCTTACGACATTCCGTTATAATGAGAAATGAAACATTAAGCCGTCCAATCTTGCGAAATTATAAAACAACAGGCTTAATCGTCCCACGGGGGGGTTGCGTTTGCATATAAAGAGACGAAGAAACGGAACGATATTGCTGGCGTGCGGGCGCAGCAACGACCCTCTATTCGCGATACAAACGCGAATCGGCGGTGGCTAATGAAACGAAACTTAAGGGAGACCGTCAGCTGCTCGTAAGTACTGTGTCGCGGGTAGATTTCCCGGCGAACAGCTGAGCCCGCGTAGCGTCCCTCGCGCCGGGGCGCCTCGGTACGTCGACCGGTTAATGAAGAACCTGTTACCCTTAACTTTCGGCGGTACCCGCGCTCCGGCGACATTTTAATTGATAAAAACTGGTAGACGGTTTTTTATTCGAGGGAAATACCTTTGCTGCAAATTTGATTTAAACCTACTTAACGTCCACAGTGGCAATTCACGGAAATCCACTGTGCACTTTAGTACGTGCGTCGAATACGAAAAATATCGACACCCTCGATATCTGTTCACTTCGCACGGTTGAAAGGCGTCTACCGATTCGACTTGGTGCTTCAGAAATATCAATATGTGAACATTCCATTTCCGGGACGAAACGTGCGATACCTTTATTATACGTACCAAATTCACTCCTTCGACGTCGTTCTCACGCAAGCTGAGACCGGTGATGTTAATCGTCGATTCCGATTCACTCCGCACGTCCGAGATGGACAACTTTGTCGGGTCCTGAAGCAATTCGTCTAGTTTTCAAATTGCATACACGTGTTACGATCTGACATGAGAAACGTCGCACAGTGCGTTGTATGTATGAGATAAAAATAATATTAGAAGTACAGATAAGTCTCCGCCGTTTGAATATTGAATATAGCGTAACTATGTCGCTGTCTGCGTCTTCCATTGGTCGGCCATATTGGAAGTATGATGACCTATTGTTTAGTCCGAACAAGAGTATATACATTACACTCCGAGAACTTAATTTTTGATATGGTTACGATTTTAAAATTCGCTCTGTTTTAATATGAAGCGTGATTGGTTAGAAATGCAAAATGGCTAACGAATGGAAGCGTCCATGATTATATAGTTGTTTAACACTAGATTGCCCAAGAAAGTCATTTTGACTGACTTTGGGCAAATGTACAAATAATAATGCATAAATTATTTTTTTTTCCAAGTGAAGTAAATTTTTTTATTGTTAACATTTACTAATAACTTGTTATATGACTGTAAATAATATAAAAAATATTAAAAATTAATTTTAGACAAATGTCTTTACACAATATTCGTTTACAATGCAGTCATTTTGACTGCTTTGGGCAATATAGGTATATACTAAGTTTCAGTCTTTCTAGTGTTAAATGGCTGCGCAAGAACACACCTTATATTTTTACGTCATGAGCGTAACCAGTAAGTATGGCTGCTATATAGTGTCAGATGTAAGACGTTATATTGTAATTGTTGTATTTTTATTATTTATTTCAAAGAGTATTAAAGTATGATTTCTATCTTATGTACCCAACGCACTGTGCGTCGTTATAATAATTTCCATCTGATCGCATTTATATCCATTAAATCAAGCGAGGAGTTCACTTCTACCGTTTTGTTCCCGGCCATTATCCTACACTTCACCGTTTTTCGACCGGGACATAACTTTAAAAAATGTCGATTGCCAAACGCAACGCGATCCTATCTGGCGGCGGAGCCAAACTTCCGAACTGGCGCGTCATCTATTTCGGACGATTCCGCAAATTCACGGTGGCCTCCGAGAGGACCCCCGATCCGTCACCGAACACGTACTACACCCGCGTCCCAGTGGGATCGACCTGGTTCAAGGAACACACAGCTTCCATACCGGCAACCATGAAACTTCGAGCCTTAAACGGACCGACGGTTCGAGGGGTAGTCCACCCCTCTCGGTGCAACAAGCGAGAAACAACTTGGGAACTCCGCGTTAACGATAAGAACTATACATATACATACATACATACATCCGCAACGCGGAAACTCGTTGCCAGTTCCTTGCCAGGTTCGCTTCGTATTTCGTACGATTTTTGCCCGAGGGAGATTCGTCAGGTCAATAATTCGTCAGATAAAATCAACCGACTTATCAGTGGATTTATTTAGAGAAAATACGAGAAAGAATTCTGGTTCGAAGACAGCTAAACGGAATATTCCGTCGACGTCGTGTTCGTGTTGTGAAGTGAAAGTATCTGGTTTCTTCAATTAGAACATTTGTTGGCAGGAAAGGTCGTGGAGGTGGGGAACGGCATTTGGGGTTATCGAAATCGCGGCGTCGGATCAGGAGAAACGATGACGTTGACGTGGGTCCGCGACCCGGCGTCACGGGGGGGTCTGACCGTGGCGCGGCGTTCAACGAGCCATCGTTCCACGAATTTCTCCACGACCCGGACAAATATAGATACATAGCGAAATTTCTCACGAATTCATGGGACGTGCCGCGCGGCGCCGCGTCTTTCGCCTCCCGACACATCTCCGTATGTACACGGACAAATTTCGTTATTTGCGAAGAGCGGCAGAGAGGAATGCTCAAACGGCTTCCGTCGTCGCGTAGCTGCCGCGATCAAAAAGCGTCCTCCCCGGCTTGACGTTACGACGTCGCGGCGGTTGGAAAAAGTAGAAAACAAAATTCCCTGGAACGCGAGAGGGTACGGGGCAATTTCGTGATACAGAATCTTCTTTGTCCTGTCGACAAGTTTTAGTGCCGGGCGAAGTCTTCCGTGCAATATGGATTGATACGTTTGACCTTTTGACTTTTCTGCTTGAAACTGCAGATCGAATGTTCTTGGGTTTAATTCAGTTTGCACCAGTAATGGGTTCTCGACTCGTGTTATTAGTTTTCTACTTAGTTTGTAAAAAACCTGTAGAGGTTAGGTTACGTCTGATTACGTCATTATAGTCGAAAACCGTGTGGAGTAATGGATTCTCGACTCATGCATCAGTTTTCTACTTAGTTTGTAGAAAATCTGTAGAATAGATCGTGTGATTAGGTCATTAACGTCGAAAACTGATCGAAAACTGATCGAAAACTGATCGAAAACTGATCGAAAACACGGTTTTCGACGTTAATGACGTAATCACACGATGTATTCTACAGATTTTCTACGAACTATACTCTATTTCCCGAGTGACTAGGAGCCTTCCGCGCAGCTTGAAAGGTGGTGGGGGCCGCAGCGAACGTCTTGGACCTCCCACCATGCGTTAAGGTCTAGCCCCACTGACGACACGACAACGACATTTTAAGTTTTTTGAGGTGGTGGGGCGGCCGAGCCAGTACACGTAGCCAGTACGGTACGGGCACGGCCGCCCCACCACCTCAAAAAACCCAAATTGTCGTTGTCGTGTCGTCAGTGGGGTTAGACCTTTAATCGCCGCCTCACCGACTACGGTTCATTATACACGATAGGACAATAAGGACACGCTTGTATTGGGAAGTGGTAAATATGGGTGGGAGATGCGTAGAACGACCGAAAACTGAACCGTGCCGACTCCTAGTCACTCGGGAAATAGAGTATAAGTAGAAATCTGATGCATGAGTCGAGAATCCATTACTGGTTTGCACCTAACTTTAGGGCAAACAGATAAATTAAGAGATTAGGCCAGCCCAAAATGAAAAATAATTTGGGTAATTCGATTTTCATCACTCATATTTTCCCCTGCTTTTAAAACAGAGCGAAAACTGTACCAACAGATGTCAGGTAAGTCACCTGACCACCCTAAGCTCTTAACGAAACGGTCATATAAAAAATTAGGTCTTGAGAGAGTACTCATTCGTTGTACAAAATATAACCGTGAAAAGGACGCGTTATTCTTTCTTCCATTCGAACTCGCTACGTGAATCGTAAAAGTTTGCAAGTCGCGCTGAAACCCCAGCATTGTCTCCGCGCGCGCGATTTCGACACGACAAAGGGGGACGCTTCTACGCGTCACTCGGAGGATTTCGTATTGTGTTCAGGTCGGAGACAAAAAGTGGAAAGAAAATAGGAAGGAGACGGAGAAGAAAAAATGGGGGTGAGGGGGGAGGAAACGATACGCCTTGCGCGAAAACCCTCGACGGTCGGCGAACGTCGTTATTTATGGAGGTATTGTTACGTGCTCGCTGGTAATGTGTCATAAAAAGCGGATTCCGTGGGCGGGTGGCAAGCAAAGGGAATGTTCAGGCGGCACGCCATTACCGGCGCGTATCGCTGAAAACAATTACTCCCGGCAATTTATGGCACCGTTTAATAAAAAGCCTGGCAATTGTAAGCTGGCTAATGCAGTTACTACGCTGCCCGGGGTGAACGTGGCCGGGATGCGTCCTACGGATTTATTAATGAAATTTCCTTGTGGAAATGCCGCGGCCGTGAAAACCGACGACAGTGCTGCCGCCGCTAACTGTCCGCGTCCAGTTGGCGAGCGAATTTTTTAACCGCCTCGACAACGAATCGCGACGTGTTCTAATAAAACGCGGTAATCCCGGGGACGCGGGAGACAGTCGAGCTTAATTCGTACGGATTGAATTGGAATCGTGGCTAGTCGGTTTCAGTCACACAAATGGATATGTGAACTGTTGAAATAAGGCAACAATTAAAAACGCAACAACTTGTCGTCTGTTGATATGTCGAAAAAAGACTGATAGATATAAGATGTAATGACTGATAAATAGACATCGTCCAGGAGTCTTCCGTTATTGGGCCTGTCCAGTACGGAGAATCGGCTTAAATCATGGATATTGGGAATTGACACATTTACCATGACCTCTTGTGGCGAGCAGTAGAACTAGACGAAGCCATGCGCAGAACGATTAAAAACTGCAAAAACTGAACTGTGTTTGGTCCTCGGCTTTCGGGACCACGAATATAATTCCTGGCTTCGCGTCGCCATGATGGTTAGCTATATCTATTAATCCCGCCTCTGTCATGGTTTAAATAAATAAATAATAAATAAGTAACGACTAATGTAACGAATATTTGACAATCTTCATGCAACGAACGATCTTCTTTTGTTTAATAAATAAAAATGAAACCTCCAATCCCAGCATGAACGATTAAAAGAAAGATGTATAAAGATAAGAACTGATACCAGGTAAGTGATCAAAAAATTGCAGTACTCCGTCAGCAGCTTGACTTCCTTCGCTTGGAACAGCACGTCGACAATTTTACTCGGATCGACGTCTACGATCACGTTGAAGATGGACAACGCCCGGATCTCTTTCAACACCAGCCTGTAATCGGTCCCCTTGTCCAACTTTCTTATCGCGATCACGCTGTCCTTATTCCGCTTAAGTGATAAAGCTTTCTGGATTCGCGACAGGCCGTCATTGTCTTCGTAAATCGCTGCGAAGGCGCTCCATTTCATGGACTCCACTATGTCCGCGATTGCCTGGAACGAAGCAACATCCGCTTGCATTTTAATTCGGAGGAAGATGTTTCGTTAATATCTTCTGCTGCCGGTTGTAATCGTTAAACGGTCCGTACTGCGCTGGAAACTGACTGCGGAAATACAATGGCAAGCGAGTTTATTTTTATTGTATTTCAAGTTATACAGGGTGTCCCAAAAAAGTGTTAGAGCCGAGGAGAGGTGATTCTTTAGGTGTTTCTGAACAACAATTTCCTTTGGCAGAAAGCAAAGTGAGGCATGGTTTTTGAATTAACAACGAAAAACAGATGACCAATGAGAGTATTGGTTCGGATCGTAACGGTCGGTCGCGGCTCAGCGTGGGGGAGCCTACGCCGGCTCTCATTGGTTAGCGTTTTTCCTTAATAATTCAAAAACCGTACCTCATACTGCATTTTGCCAAAGGAAATTGTTGCTCAGAATCACTTAAAGAATCACCTCTTTTCGGTTTTAACAGTTTTCCTCAGATATGTATAGAAAAAATAGTGAATCTTGGAATAAATATTGCAGATAGTTCGAAGCGACTTCAACAATTATTTTAATTACCCAATAAACTACGTGATACGAAATGAAATTTCAATTACACGTTTCATATATTATTTTGTAATTGAAACATTTTTCGCAGATTTTTTTTCTCGGTATTCCATAAAAGTTAAGCGTTTCATTCTCGACTCTCAATATCATACATGCGAACATGCCAGCTATTAATTCTTCAGATTTTTAAGTAACCGAGTAAGTCCGACATGATTCAAGAATTTAATCATGCAAAATGGAAATTTATTAGACACCGCCGCCATAGGAGCCGTTTAAAAGTTTCGAACAGCTTCCGCGTTCGGTAATCATAGTAAATTTGGTTTAATTAATACAGCAGAATTTTTAAATCCAGGCAACTCGAATTTACCAAGGAACATCGAGCATTAAGATTTACATAGTAAATTATTAAACGAGCCGTCGAGTTTGTTTCGATGTCCCAGATTTCATACGCGCACGCAAAAATCTGCGTGTTTCCCGCGGCGCAAAAAAGCTGCAAAGAAGATATCGTAACATCATATCGCGTAAAAAGAGACGATAAAGGAAAAATAGGATGGAAATAAAAACCGTCAAAGGGAGTCAGTACAAAAGGGTAATTCGAAATGTTTCTACATGTGAAAGAATTTTCAGATAAATCTATGACATTTTTCATGCGAAAATCACTCATAGGAAGAATGGAATGGAAAAGTATTAAGCATTAAAAATGGATATAAATCGTATCGATCAATTTTAAACAATTCGATGTGAAAAAAATATACGAATCCTTTTTAAGCCGAATGGACAGTAAATCTCCCAATTTCTGATAAACGTCACAATTTTTATTCACATTTTGAAACAATTATATACAAAGTATCCCAAAACTAGTGTAAGATATTGAAATGGGAGGTTCCTGACGTAATTTTAAACAACATTTTCCTTAG